TGTATATATATGTGTGTGTATGTGTGTGTGTGTGTGTGTATGTATTTGAGTATGTAGGTATGTATTTATTTACCCATATATATCCGTATATGTTTATCGTTTGAACGGCTTCGTATAAAGGCCTTTTCTACCGACTCCTTGCGCCCTCATACAATACAATCTCATACCCTGCAGAAATACATTGCGTTCGAATCTGTTCGTAGGATGGAGCGCGACATGAAAAACGACAACTCTATCACAGTAACTTATGTCGATGGTGGGGATCAGGTGAGTATATTACGTGGATAGTTTTCTCAAGTCAACAATGTGGTTGTATGGTTGTCTATCTGTATCTTTGTGTATAAACATTTGTGTATTAGTGTGGTTGTGCAGTTTTCGGTGTTGTTATAGGTGTTAGTGTAAGTATCGTGATTGCATGTTTGTCTGCGTAGGTATAGATATACATGCAAGTATATCTCGAGTATGTCCGTCAAATCTTTTCGTGGGTATGTGGTAGTGTGTGTTTCGATATGCCAGTGTACTTACTAGCCCGTCAACTGGTATATTCATAGATCGAGTGTTTGTTGATTTATTCGTATGCCCGGTTCGTGTGTCGTTCTCATTGGTGGCATCAAGGCTGAGTTGTCATGTACGGTGGCCTGGATATGTCGATGGGTGGGAACAAAGGTGTGTGTATTTAGATAGGTGTGCGCAGGTATTGGTATACACATGCCGGCGGTTCTGTATGTTTGTATGCAAAGGATTATAGCAGTATTCAGACCATGATACATTTATGCAGAATTTTAGGAAAGTATTCTATGTTTAGGTGTATGATGGTGTACATTCATAATTGAGTCCGTTTTAGGGTTTAGATATATTATGTTTCCTGGGGACGAGTGTTTGTATGGTGCAGTCACCTACACGCCTCACACTGAGAAGTCAACGCATGTAGCACCATATGTTGATAATTCACGCCTTCCCGTAGCGGCCGTCAGTGATTACAACCAACTCAAGTATGAGAGGTACTTACTTACTTGCCATGCATTTCTAATATGCGCGTACATTCGGATCATAATACTGTTTGCAGGAGATGCTGACCCTCTCGTATGCGGATAAGATAGCAGATAAGGCCATGGCCGAATTAGAGACAGCATATGCGGCTGCCGAATCTGTTTCCAGAGGCCCAAGCGCCAACAACAACAACGCGCGCGAAAGCAAGTATGTGTATGCACAGTGTGAGGGTAGAATGTTTGTATGAGTGACTGGGGATGCTGTTGTTGTATGGCAGACGTCTATATAGGAGGTAGTTGCTACACTTGGTTTGCGTAGGGATCGGTGTACATGAATACGTGGGCATGTGTAGTATAGCTCAGATGAGTCTCACCGTATCCTATTTTCGAATACCTGCTAGCTGTCTGCTTGAGGTACATACGAACAGATAGATGTCTCTGCCAAGAATACTTATCAGCTAGGTTATCAGGTAATGAGTGATCTATCCCACACCCTTCTGCTTCCGGTAAAATGTGCTCTAGTGTTATTACCGCACAATTAAACCCCCGCACATGTGGCCTTTTCATCGCCCAGAAAGAAACGAATACATTCACATGCCTACCCCGTGCATAGCCGAGCTTCAACACGTTTTAGGGTTTTGGGTTTTGGGGCTCTGCCATGTTCACAGGGCCAGGTGTCAGTTGAGTTGTAACACTGCACTGCGAGCGGCGTGTGCACAATCTTCCCTGGTATAACGTATCCATATAGCCATTCTCTTCAATTTTGCTACACTTGGTGCGTCTACTGATTGCCATCAGATATGCATCATATTGCGACGCACATTTTTGTTTGTTATGAGTTAGAATTTATGTATGTTATGTGTATGTATATAACATACCCATATATGTAAAACATACATATACATATCCGTTGTATGATATACCATGTTATATGTATTATCATATGTTGTATGTCTTGTCAAGTATATATGTATATATATATATATATATATATATAGTACATAGTATAGCGTTCGGTCGATGTGTAAACATATCCATGCTTATAAATATATACTTATACATTTACACTGTGTTATATACATATACCGTGTTATACATTTTATATATTTCTTGTGCCAAAGACAACAATATAGAACGAAAACACATAACGCAATTCGAATACGTGCCGTAATTAGGTTTATCTTTCAAGTATTGAGTATATATATATATACAAACATTTACATAATATATAACAGCATTTAGTCATTGTATAAATCTATCCATGGATATAAATATAAACACATACATATATACTTCTACATACTGCACATCATATACATATATAAAATGGCATTCAGTCATGAACCATGACACACGTTCCGCTCATCCTTGTATCTCTTCGTGTCTTGCATTGCAGATCAAGTACGCTGGGGGGAGCCATGAAGGCAACCGCTCCACGCCTAGCACGGTTTGTTCAGGCACACGTACAGGTATGGACGTCAGCAAGAGACAGAAGTTTCTTATGTTTCTGGTATTGGCATTGATATATACATTTGAATATACATATGTATATGTATATAC